AAAAAAAAAGAAAAGAAAAAAAAACTTTTTACCATCCATATGTGAGTTCTGTATTGAGGACAAAACAAGAATATATAATTTGATCGAAGATGTATAAACCATATTCAAGCAATACACAAAGAAATAAATCACGTCTTTATATATTTCTTATTGTCGCTTTTATAATATTTATTATTTATCGACGATATTTTTCATCATCAAACAAATCTTTAGAAAAAGGAACATTTCAATCAGCTGGTGAAAATGTTGATTCAGTTATTCAACAATCAAAAGATAAATTAAATAATGGAATTAATAATATTAAAGATAAAGCTGATAATGTTGTTGATAAAGCAAAAGATAAAATAAAACAAGGTGCTGATACTGTTCAAAAAGCTGCACAAGATGTTAAACAAAAACTTTAAATATTATTTTATATTTTATTTCTTTTTACAATTACTTAAATATATCATTTAATGTTATTTTAATAAACAATAGATTAACAAATCTAAATATAATTGTACAGGGTGATCTATAAGTAACACGCTCGATAAGAAATTTAAATATTTCTCTCACTTGTTGATGGATCAAACATTTCAACACTTGCTATTGCATAACCTGAACACCACCCGCCAACTATTTTATCAGACCAGAGAATTAAAATCATATAAACATAAAATATAACAAACCAGCTAAAATAACTTCACCAGATTTATTTTATTTTTGGCTCTGCCATATTTAATCTTTCTTTTGGTAATAATAAATACTTTTCAGTTTCATCAACTAAATGTTCACGTGCTTGATCAGATTCAATTAATGAGTTCCAAATAATTATATCAGCAAGAAATCGTGCAGATTCCAATAACTAAAATAAATATTTTTTTTAAATTTAATATGTAATACTTTATCTAAATGTTATTTTCGTTGTTGAAAATCTTAAATATAAGACTACACTCTCACTCTAATCTTCAAATATATTACAATATGAAATCTTTTACTTACATTCACTGAGCATTCAATATCGATAGGTGAACTATTGCTCAAATGAAAAGATGAATGAATTGAAAATATAAAACTAGTTCGATCAAGTTGATTATTATTTTCGAAATAAGCTTCACTAAACTCTTTAGAAATCTAAATTGAAAACAATTATTTTTATTTAATTTTAAATGAAACTTAGTAATCTCACTATAAAAGATACTTCATTTCCATTTTTAAGTTTTAACTATCTTTCTTTCGAAAAATCTTGATTGCAATCAAATGAAAAGAAATTATTTATTTTTCATTATTTTCATTTCTAAAACAATTAAAAATAAAAACCCATGTCAAACAATCCAGCACGGAAACGATCGATTCCATAATATTCCGCATATTTCTTGGAAGCAGTATTTCAGTGGCCGGATCTGTTCCCCGAATTTGTCGGACTCCACCTGAAACCCACAGGAATTTGTTAAAACCGGCAACCGTAGCCGGTCATCAGATCCTTGTACCGAATCGCTCGCTTTTTCCGGCGGGTTCCGACCAGAAATACCGAGTTTATTAACGGTTTTCACTAAAAATTCCCGGAATACTGCTTCAGGAATCATCGTCCTGGGTAAAAAAACAATTTTATCAAAAATTAAAATTTTCTTACTCATCAAAGTATATATAAAGCTTCTTGTTGTTGGAATTGAGATATCATCATCATCACTGGATGATAATATTGTTTTAACATTAACGCTGTTGATTAATTCGACTTTTTTCTCAAGATTTTGTTTGTTTTCTTCTGTTTTTTCATTTAATATCTCGTTTAATTCCGTATAAATATATTTTAAATCGTCCTTATCAAAATATTCTGATGTAGTTTTCACTACACTGTAATTTTTTTTAAAATTCTATTTATTGGAAAATCGATCTTGAATAAGCTCAAGCATTTTATAAGTTTTTGATTTAATCATTGAATTTATAGAAATTCAAAAACGCTTGATTTACCAACTACTAGAAATCAAATTTGATTTTCGAAAAAAATTATTTTCTGCAAAATAGAAGAGTGTGGGTGTGAGTCTGATATAACCATAAAATACAGCTCGAGACCCAGACCACAGCCACCCACACCGACACCCATGGATTGGTTATTAAATTTTACCTGAATTCATAACGCCACAATCAACTACAACAATAGAATTTAACGGTCGTAGATTTGAATCAGTTGGTGCAATCTCAATTGTATCAACTATTGAATGACTGGTTATCACATGACCAAAAACGACATGCTTACTGTATAAAACATAAATATTTTTATGTTGATTAATAAGATTTTACCGATCAAGATGTGATGCTTCAGATGTTGTACTAGAATTGCCAAAAAAATTACCTTTTTTTCTTAAATGAGTTCTTTTTCTTACATAAAAACCTGCGATTCGTCTGTATTGGATCCTTGGTTATACAATGAAAGAAGTTATCGTCGATCACGTTTTATTTGAAATGTTTCATCTGGAAGATTTTTATTAATATTCTTTTATTTTAAAATAATGCGAAACTCTTTACCAGTAAATGTTTCACCATAGATTGATTTACTACCAGTACCATCACCTACAATTTAAAGACCAAATCGACACCAAAAAATGATATTTTTATTTTCTATTATTCATTCTTCGTCTGACTAAAATAAATAAAAATCAGTATCCACTTCTTTCTATACTTTTTTTATTTTAAAATGCTGATTAATTATTTTATAAACTAAAAAGAAAATTACCTTCAATAAAATCTCCTGAGTGAATTATTCCAGGACGATAGTTCCTGAAGTGGGATTCCATGAATTTCCGACGAAATTCCTGAGGTAATCGTATCCGGCTGCCGGTTTTGACATGTTCCTGTCGATTCCTGTCCAAACCAGATTAATCCAATCACCGGATCCGTTCAACGGGAATACTACTTCCATGAAATCTTTGGAACACCACGGAACCGGCCGTTTCCGTACCGGATTGTTCGACCTGGGATAACATTTTACACAATTTGATTAAAATGGCAATTTTTATAATATAATTTTTTATTTAATGTTAAATCAAGGCCTTGTTCTCCTAAAACTTAAATTTTATTACAATTTCTAAAATTAAAAGATTTCATTTTACCTGTACATAAACAACGAAGATTTTCACCTGTAAGTGGACATATATCATTGAAAAGTTCAAATTCAATTTGACCAGCTAAAATAAAATACGATTAAAAAGAAACTGGAATCAGATTCGATCGAGTCGTATATATATCAGCCTTGACACATATATCAATATGAACTAAAAAAGGTGAGTTCTCATAGATTTGCATATCTAGTGAGTTTTCCGCATGATATCGTCTGAAAAGTAATACCCACATTTTAAAATATATTTTATTTAATAGATCTAAATGAGATCTATCGAATGATATACATATTATCGTTGACACATATTTAAAAATGAATTCGAAAGGTAAATTTTCGAATACAAGCATACCTGTTGAGTTCATAGTTTAGAATTAATTTTATTTAAAGTGATAGAATTATATGACTTTTCAAAGTTTATGTTGAATATATCTATATGTATGACTTTTAAGTTCAGTAGTTGACGCTACAATATACATGAGAACGTTTAAAAACCTTTTAAGTACACTCTATCGATTCGAATATATTGAGTTATACTTGATTTGATGTATAGTTTTCACGTTCAGTCAAATAAAAACAGTTTCTGGTGTGGCACATATTGTAGAGTAAATCTATATATGAAATATGTGCTAAAATCGTCATATTAAAGTTTTCCATGTGAGTGTATTGAAACTGCTAGTTACAAGGTGTAAATGAGCATATCAATCGACAGGGCAAGTAGAAATATATCGGAATATTAGTTTACTTTAAGTTCTAGAGCGGGAGATCGATTAGTTTTAAGAAATACAATATTTATGAAATTGCTTCAATGAAAAAAAAGATTTTTCCATAGCTGAGAAACGTTGTGTAAAATTGAAACAAAATCTAAGTATACCGCTTAATTAAGCTCGTTGAATTCTATATGGCACACCTTGTCAGGTGAATACGTTTCGAAAAAAACCCAAATCCACTGATAACTTCATCTACATTATAGGAATAATACATTTAAATAGAAGCTTTTTTCATTTTTTTGTATATACCACTATATAATATATTTATAATTATAAAATATAGAATCATATTCCGCTTCTCTTATCTTATTTTCAGTTTAATATTATTAACGAAATTTTCATTAAGTTCAAAATCTGTAATCTTTTATAATATAAAAATAGCATCCTATATAAAAAGTCATATTTAGACATTACTTTAAAAGTTTTACTTTTCAATTAACATAAAAAAGTTCTGTTAATTTAACAATTTCGATATTAAAATGATTAATAAAAATTTATAAAATTAGATAATATGAAATTGAAACAGATTTAGCTAACAATAAAAAGCTTTATTGTTGGATCGATTCATACATATTACTATCTGAGATTTATCTACCTTAATATTTTGAAGGTATTCAATCTGAAATAATATGTCGTTAATAAAATTGAAACATTACTCTTCTATCAAACAGGTTTTATCAAAAATAAATCATAGAGAACGATTTTCTTTTCTTGAAATCTATAGAATTTCATAAATAGAAAAAGAAGAAAAAAAGAAAAAGAATGTTAATATATCAGTCGTTGTTAATGTTACATGCTCGTTGTTGACGAGAATATTGTTGCACTCTAATAGTCATACCTTGTTCTTTTCTTTTCTCTTTCATATTCTTTTTCTCTTTTTCTTTTCAAATAAAGAAAAGAAAAGAAAAGAAAAAAAAACTTTTCACCATCCATATGTGAGTTCTGTATTGAGGACAAAACAAGAATATACAATTTGATCGAAGATGTATAAACCATATTCAAGCAATACACAAAGAAATAAATCACGTCTTTATATATTTCTTATTGTCGCTTTTATAATATTTATTATTTATCGACGATATTTTTCATCATCAAACAAATCTTTAGAAAAAGGAACATTTCAATCAGCTGGTGAAAATGTTGATTCAGTTATTCAACAATCAAAAGATAAATTAAATAATGGAATTAATAATATTAAAGATAAAGCTGATAATGTTGTTGATAAAGCAAAAGATAAAATAAAACAAGGTGCTGATACTGTTCAAAAAGCTGCACAAGATGTTAAACAAAAACTTTAAATATTATTTTATATTTTATTTGTTTTTACAATTATTTACATATATGTCATTTGATGTTATTTAAATAAATTATAGCTTAACAAATCTAAACATATTTGTCCTAACACTTTTTAGTTTTGTTATATAAATATGATTGTATAACTACAATAAAATCTTTTCCATCTAATATACAATTTTGTTAATTAGCATTGAATTTTTTCTTTTTCATATGTCAACTTCAGTTTGAATAAATAAAGAGAAAAACTGATTCTATAAAAAGATATTTTATTATTGAAATATTTATTGTAATTGACAACATATGTTTATTTCTATATATTTACTGATTCATGACCAAACTTGTCACGTTTCAGGAAATAAATTTTACCTATCTGACAAATATAAAATATATTTACTTGAATTCTTTCACATACAATTCATTCATTTAGTTGTTTTTAATTGAAATAATAAACGAACAAATATATTACTTGATTGTTCTATATTATAATTTAGTTTTAATACAAATTAAATATTGTCTATGGTATTAACAGGCAAATTTAACAAATCTTTTTCATTGTTCTTTTCATCAACGTACTTTAGAAAAAAAAATACATTATGCTCAATCTCTCTTAATAACCTTTCAAAAGTTTTCTTTCTATTTTAATTTACTTTCTTAGCAAGTTTTCTTTTAAATCATCGATATATGTACTAAACTTTTATTTTTATGCATAAAATTTCGAAGTATTCAAGTATTAAACGCGAGTCGACCTGCAGAAGGAGAAGCACGGAGTGTGGGTGTGGAAAAAAGCTTGACACTATCGAAATAACTCGCACAAAGCAAAGCACAAGAGTGAGGGTGGAGGGAAAAGCTTGGTACTTTCCATGAGGGAACAGTTTTAAGGTCGAGTAGTTGTATAGTCGAGTACTCGAATTATAAAATTTAATACTTCAGTCGTAAATTTTAATAGTCGAATAAAGTTTAAAACTCGAGTAAAAGTTTAATAGTTGTAACGAATTAACGATTTCTACACAACTGTATTAATTTAATAATAAAAATGTGATATAAAGTGACATCTATGTTAGTCTTAGTTGTCAATGACAATGAATTAAATAATGATTTCATTCACATTGATTTATAAATGAAAAATGTTTCATACAAATGATACATATTCGGATGAAATTGAAAGTAATTTAAATAAAATAAAATTGTATTTTTTAATAAAGAAATAATTTAGATGAAAATCAAACAATTGAATCAGTTCATCAATTAGGTGAAAATAAAAAATTGAAAAATGAAAATGAAAATAATTTAGAAGAATTATTAATAAAATCTCGTCAATTAAAATCTTCGAAATCTCTTCGTTTAATTGATGAACAAATTGAAAATATTTCAACAAAAAAAAATTCAACAATTCAATCTCTTATATTATCATGTAATTTATTAGATAAAAATCAACAAATTGATTGGACAAAATTACCAAAACATGTTCATGTATTTTCTTTTCATTATTTCAAATAAAATAGTTTATTTGATTTTTTTTTAGCATTTAGAATTATCAGGAAATTTTGTAAAATCTCTTAATGGAATTGAAAATAATAATAATAATGATTTGAAAAGTATTGGTCTATCATTTAATGAAATAACGGAAGTTGATCAAATATTTTCACTTCCGAAATGGTTTTTAATTGAATTTTTTTAATAAAATATTTTCAATTGATTCTTTAGGTCAAATATATGTTTAATTGATTTAAGTTATAATATTTTAAATGATTTAACAAAAACAATTGAATCATTACAAAATTTAAATAAACTTCGTATACTTTATTTACATGGAAATCCAATATCAGTATGTTTTGAAATAAAATAAAATAAATAAATCTTTTCTTTTTAGTTAATAATTGATTATCGTTTATATGTTATTGATTCTCTTGAAAAATTACTTGTTCTTGATGATATAACAATAACTGCAGAAGAAAGATTTCGTGCAAGACATTTTTCAAATTCTGATCAACATCCAAAAGATTATGCAAAATTTACAATTACATTTGGAACGGTTTCAAATATTCCAAATCCACCAATTAATCAAGTTTGAAGTTTTTAATTTTAAAATAAATAAAATAAATTTTGTTTTAGAATGAATGGCCATTACAAATTCATCGTTATAAACTACGTCTTGATTGGTTTGATGGAGAAAAACAAGATATCGATATACCTTTTGATAAATTTGCAGATTTTAATCGATTTAATCAAATACAAATTGAATCTTCACATTCAGATTATAAACCAAATATTGATTTTTCACCAAATCATTTAGATTATTCAATAAATACACTTATTCCATTTCGAGATTTTCTTTTTCATGGAACAACGTGTCGTTTTATTCATGAAATGGTACAACCTATTATTAATACTTAGATAGAAAATATCAATGATCATTCATTCATACTGATTAAGAAAACTTTTGATGTTTTATTCATCAGTGTAAATGTGATTCATTTTTAAATAACTCAGTTAGAAAAACAAGTAACGCTCGTCCGAAGACTCACTCAGCTTCTTCTCGTAAAAATCCATTTTCTTCACATTTACTGGAACAACAAATGAAAACCGTAAAAAAATTGATTTTCGATGTTTTTTTGACCTCTGAATCCGCTTCGCTCCTGCCCTCACCTTGATCACCCAATAGACCTCAGATTCGAACTCCCCACATCGAAAAACCTCTAGAAATGTCTTTTTCAGAAAATCGGGTTTCAATGTTTTTTTGACCTTCCACCCTCTTCCCCCCCCCCCCCCCCCCCCGCCTAACCATGATCACCCAATAGACCGCAGAGTCGAAGTTCCCGCATCGGAATAGCTCTAGAAATGTCTATTTCGAAAAAATTACTTTCGATGTTTTTTTGACCCTGCGGACAGACAAACAAACAATTTATGTTCACTGGACTCTTCTCTACGAGAAAGAGAATAGACAGAGATCGATCATTTTCACCAATCGAATGAAATGACAGGAGAACATCTTTCTATATAATATTTCATAAGACAAATTTACTTTTGTTGGATGGAAAATAAGAGTTGAAATTTTTATAAATTTAATTAATGTGAATAAAATAAATATTTTTAGACTGAATATTGGCAACCTGGAGAAATAATTGAAGAAAAATCTGGAAAAAAGAAATCAAATGCAAAAGAAGAAAAAGTAAAATATTTTCATTTATTTTTTAAATAAATAAAGGTTTTTTTTCTAAATCTAAATGTAGAAAGTTGAAGCTCCAGTAAAAAAAAAGAAGCCTGAAGATTTAAGTAAATTAGTTACTCGAACTGATCCAATTGAAGAAATATTTGCAGAATTTCATGTTGAACTTCGATCAATTCTTGATGGAGATTATCAAGTATCATTTCCATATAAATGTCTTATTCAACAACAAATTGATTTAAATACTCTACAAAATCTTCCAATAAAACCAAATAAAAAAGATAATAAAAAAACAGATTCATCACAAGACAAAAATAAAGAGAAACAAAAAGGTTTTATTTTTATTTCAGTTAAATATAAATATTTTCTTTTTTTCTAAACTAGCTCAAACAAATGAACCAATTCCACTACCACAACCATTTCAATGTTCAGTTCATTTTCAATTACATAGAATTCTTTCCGAATAATTTTTTCTTTCTTAAAAATAAATATTTTATTTATTTATATTTAAACACAATCTTAATTTCTATATAACTCTTGTTATATATCTATTTATTTCTATTAGAAAAATAAAAAAAACGTTGATATTATAAATAGAATTTTATTTAAATAAAAAAAGGAGTTTATTCAGGTGTTGGTATTGGTAATGATTTAAGAATATTTTCAATAAGATTTCTTTCATCTTCTGATGGATTTTGTTCAAGAGTTGTCATTGAAGGCATAGATAATATATCATTATAATAACGTGGACGTTGATTTACATCACGTTCAAGTCTAAATTTCAATGTTATTTTTTTTTGTTTTTGTTTAAAATAAAAAAGAAAAAAAAACTTACAATATTGAAATTAAATCTCTTGTTTGTTGAGAAAGTGTTGTAGGTATATCTGGTTGCCAATCATTTTTCATATGAGACATAAATGACATTATTGATTCGGATGATAATGGAAGATAACCTTGACTTACTTCTAACTAAATTTTATTAAATATTTTAGAAAAATAAGTAAAGAATTATTTATTTGAAACATACAAGACTCATTCCTAATGCCCACATATCAGATCGTGTTCCATAAGAACAAATATTTCCAAGACGTTCAGGCTTTTATTTTAGAAATATATTTATATAAGTAAAGAAAGAGAGAAAGAAAGAAAAATCTTACAGGTAAATATCTCATTGATCCAAGATGAGTTGATGAAATCGAATCTTTTAATGTTCCACAAATACCAAAATCACATAATTTAAAAATAACATTATTTGCAACTAACATATTTTGTGGTTTAACATCTCGATGAATTAAATTTTTTGATTTAAGATAATTAAGTCCTAAGACAATCTAAATTGAAATAAAAAATCTATTCTAAATATTTAAATTAAAAAAATGAAACAAACATGTTTAGCTAATCTTCGAATAAATTTATCTAATAAAATTGCTGTTGGATGAAATTGTGAATGAAGAATTGGATAAAATTTATCCATACTTGTTTCAAGTGGTTCCATACAAATAATCAATTGTCCATCATCAATTAAAGCTCCATAATAACAAACAATATGCGGATGACGATCATTTCCAACAGTTCTCATTGCTTTTAAATCACTTTGAGATGAATAATTTTGATATCCATCATGTTCAAGTGTTAATCGCTTTTCAATTTTAAATAAATAAAAATAAAAATTCGTTTTTTTTTTTTTAATTTAAATTCCAACTAACTTTACATGCAAATTTAACATTTGGATGATTTTCTAATTTAACTAAATGAACTAAACCAAAACTTCCTTCACCTAATTTATTTAAATAAATTAATTGTTTAACATTAAATTCAATTGATTCGCCATTATATTCAATTTTACATGAATCTTTTATATCAGCAAATCTAAATAAAAAACCAGACAAATAAAATTTTGATTTTTAAATAATTATTTACTCATATTTTGTTAAAATATTTTCTTCATCATTTTTTTCAATATCACTTGTTAAATCAATACACATTAAACGTACTAAAATTAAAAAAAACAAAATATTTCTTTTTTAAATAAATACTTTCAATTTTAAAATACATTTTCGTCTTTTAGCACTTCTTGATATTCCATCTGGTGGTGAATACATTCTATTAGATTTTCAAAACACGTGTCTATATACAAGACGTGACAAACAAATCAATCTTGATAAGAATAACAAAAAAGAAGAAAAGGAAGAAAAGAAAAGAAAAGAAAAAAAAAAAAGGAAAAAAGAAATATTTTGTTTATAAAATAAAATATCCAAACAAATTTTATTCAAATATATAAAAAAAAGAAAATTTATTTTTTTATTGAGATTTAAAATAAATCGATTGTCATTGGATAATTTTTTTCCGAATAGTATTATTATTATAGAAATATCTATTAGTTGAACAGATTTTATAATAAATTAATTTAATTATATTTTTTTTTGTCAAGCTATTCCTATTGTTTATATTAAATTCAATGAGAGATTATTATTAACAATCAATTAAATGGATATAGTTGAGAAAAAAGTGAAGATTTTATCAGTTAATGAAATTTTTCTACATATATTATTATTTAACAAATAATATTCAATCGATTTATTAGAATATTTAAAATTAATACTTTCATTTATTTAAAATTTTAAAGAATGTATAATAATAATAAATGAAAAGTTTTCAACGATGAAAAATATTAATATTTGTTAATTTCATAATGTTATATTCAAAAATAAGATTTTATTTTATTCGAAAAAATATTATTTTCTTAAGAGAAATATCAGAAGTTAATATGAAGATCGTGAAAACATCACTTATCTCACTTTGAATGTCTTCATAAGAAAATACTTTTCTTATAATTTAAATCTAAATTGTTCGACGACAATTTGTTGTAGGATGATTATTTAAATCTTACTTTGTTATAATTTTCAATGAAGATAAATAAGACTTGTAAATGTAATTTTATTAATCTATAGAAAACTAGTTTGTGTCATATTCAATAAAATATATTTAAAAAAAAAAGAATGTCCATTAGAATGAAAATGTACTATTTATTATTCACATCGTCATCTTATACCTTTTAACGTTATACATCATAAACATATGCGGCAATATTGATTGATATTTTCATAATAATTAGATAAAATTGATATAATCAATTATTATATATTGTTAATAATTAGAATATATTTGGAACTGAATTTAATTAGCCAACATGTCACATACAAATTTAAAAGTAATTATTTAGTGTTTTTAGTAATAAAAAATTCTACTTTAAATGAGTTTGAATGCAATGACGATAATAATAATAATATTGAATAGAATTTTATTTTGATGCCTATTAAAACAAAGATATTTATTCAATTGGACGAAATTAAACTTTAAAACAATAATCTATTACGAACAATTTCTATAAGTAAATCAATCTATTGACTGTTGTCAAATAAGATGTTTATATTATGAAATCATCATATATCTCATCTCATATAACAAACTATTGATAAATGAATGGTATTTGTTGTTAATCTTTGATAGGGAACCTTTCAGAATTTCATAAATTAATTATTTGATTTTATTTATAATGATTCAATTATATTTCATACAAATAATAAAATATTATGTAGAGCCCATATGAAACTATAAATTCGTAATAAGGTAGAAGTTTTTTGATCGTTTCTTGGCTAAGATATCTGAGTCGGAGAATAAGAAGATTCGAAAAAGTGAGAATATCCGATTTATTTTTATTTTTTGCTTTTTCTATATGCACTGACTAAAAATCGTTGTGTTTAAGCAGCTAATATATATCATCGAGAGTATATTATACATTTGCATAGATACTAGGAAAAGCTCTTTAATTCGAACCATGAGAACTCCATTCTATGAAATAAGATCGATCAAAAATGGACAATTCGTAGGAAATTATATTAAAAAAGTTTTTCTACAATTATTTTCTTCTCAAAATAAACTACGAATTAACAATATATTCATGTTTAAAACTTTCTTTCAGCTAATAATTAGTCTGAGGATCAATCTATTGACATTTATCAGTCATTTATTATCAATTAAACGGTAAGAACTCATAGCTTTTGTTTTAATCTAACTTGTAGAGCAGACCAAAGATATAAGAATAACCAATATTGAAGTGCGATCAGGAGTACTAATCTACCAATCACGTTAATCAATGTCCAATTAGATATTATTCTCATAATAATCTATTTTTCAAAAAAAATAATTTATGATAGAGATACGTATATATTCAGTTCTATACAGATAAAATAAACACGAAACTCTGAAACACTATAACTTCATGTCTTTTACTGGTTTCCAGGAAATTGTTTTGCGTTCACACATATCTCATTTAAATCAATAATGAACATAATGGAAACAAAGGTAATTTCCTCTACATTAAGAAAATTCTTAGCGTCAAGAAACCAACATAAATGGGTTCCAGTACACATGGAAACGGCCTTTTACCCAAAAAAACCTTTTAAAGTGTTCAGGAATCATTTGTAAAGTCACATAGGTTTCCGAATGATTCCATTTATTTCATAAATTAGGTATCATTGTTTATAAGCAAACGAGAAACTTTTTACTCTCATTCCAAATCATCATTCTTACCACTATCATCCTCACCCACTTATACACCTACAAAGTGAAAAAAAGTAATCACAAATGAGCATTCATCGCATCTCAGTCGAGAGAGACATGTTGCATTTGTCTTATATTACGCCCATTTAGAGAGGTGTGTATGTCTGTGTTTTTCTTTTTTAGAAACCGTTGTATTAGATGTGTTGTCAAGAAATCCGGAATAGAAAATCCGGAATAGAAAATCCGGAATAGAAAATC